GACAAAACACCTTTAACAACTAAATTTGGAATAGAGACTATGAGCAACAAATGTTTTTTTCATGAGATGTGATCTGATTGTTTTGACTGAGAATTGATTTATTCTTACTGTTAGGAAAGCTTTTCCTTATGGGGATTATGATTATAAATGAGTTAATAATGATATAGGTTGAAATATGATCATTACTTGATTCAGAGGTAGCTATACTACACAGTCTATCAGATAGACTCTGGCATCAGCCTCCTTAAAGAGTTGATATATATATACTAATCCATTTGTTAAGATTTTTTTTGTTTGATTTTAACATTATGATTGTGTTTATTTGCTTTATTATATTTGTGTTTATATGTTTATATCTTTATTTAAGAGTTGAAATCACTATTATGTCTCACCTTGTTATTAATATTTTGAAACATGTAATCATAACTGTATTATGGTATATTTTGAATTTGTGATTATAGTAATCATAAAACCTTTTTCTTGAAGTAGAAATTGTCTTTTCTTCTAAATTTAAAAAGATGTGTCTCTTAGTGTACATATATACATTTGGTGATAGCAAGATATAAAGCTTTGCATTCATTATGATGTCATTTTTAGCAGGAAAATAAACATTTGTATTTCATACATCATATGTAGGCCAAGTAGTAAGTTTAGATTTGTTTGTTGTGTACTGGTACCTTGTATACACTGGATTTGGGCTGATGAGAAATGGTAAAGATTGTCCATCAGAGTAGTTTGTGATTAGTGATTAAATCTAGCACTTGTGTGGCTCCTTATAATCCTTCTAGAGTTCCAGTTATATGATGAATGGTGATAATTAATAATAAATGATTTATTGATTCTATCACTTTATTCTTACTAAGGATTAAGAAATGTATTCAGGCTTGTTTTGTACTTGCAACTGAAGTCTTATGTGTACCAAAGTGAAAGTCTTAGAGAAAGTTTGACATATTTTTTTTATCAATAAATGCAATTTAAAAGATTATTTGTATTTAGGGCTCAGAAACTTTTGTTTCAGAGAGACTTACATGAAAAATATTATGTCTTAGAGGATTATAAGAGCAGCCTACAAAGTGTCATTTCTCTTGTTTTTTTCTTGCAGGAAGGTATCTATATTGATATTTATTATAGTAATAAGATAGTTAGTTATTGTTAAAGTGAAAAATGATATTTACTCTAAGCTTGCCTTGTTTGAAAAACTACACATGATGATAGCAGTGATAGCAGTAATAGGAATAACAATATTTTTCCCTCCAAAGCCATGAAACCTAATAGATTGATCAATTTGCAGAAAACAAATCCACAATGACTGCTGTAGGGCAGCCACTGCTATGGCAGGGTGGGATGGGTGGAGTGACCCTCCGCCCCCAGCCACGCTTGGATGTAAAGTGGCTCAAGTCAGATCTGCAGAGCCTCCTGCAACCAGACAACCTGCCATCACTGTACAATCAGATGGTCAAGGATGGGGAGGTTGCAGGACCACATGTGGAGGGCATCCTCAACTCTGTTGGGGTCACTGCCAGGAGAGGTATGTTTGAGATTTTGTTTTTTGGATTTAACTTTACTTTTCCTTAGATTATTAAGCAATATAATTGACTGGCTCATTTTGAGGGTGTAGTTCAAACATTTTGTTTGTCCTGTCATTACAAGAATGTTAAATGGTGTTATAGAGAAATGGATGGTTTAAAAGAGGTGATCATGTTTTATCAAATTTTATTTCCTTGAAAATATAGTTTGCAAGTAGGATTAGTATTCATGTTGTAATTTTGACTTTAATGGAATAATTTGTGATATTACACTATGTATTCCTTGTTTTTAAGGTATGAATGGCATTATTAAAACATTGTGTATTGTACGATGTAATGTAAGTCTAAAATATATTGAAATACTCCAGGAGAAAGTGGTCACTACTACTGTGGCATGAAGGTCTTGACCTGCCCTTGCTGTGATGGAATATGTGGGCCTCAGAGTGGATGCAACTGTGGGCCATGCCAAAAGCTAGACCGTGAAGAGGCAGAAAGGGAACTTGAGAATGGAGAAGGCTTTACCCCTCCTTCACCCTCTCTTCTCGATGGTTGGACGTGGGGGCCGCAACCAGAGGCCAGTGATCTGAAGAAATGTTTAGATGTGCTTGTAAAGGAGCAGAGACTCATGTGTTTAGAGGCTGCATCCACCACACTCTCTGCCAGTCGTCTCCAGCAGAGGTTTATGGTGGCACATAGGTAAACTTGCCTTGTTTGAAAAAACTACACATGATGATAGCAGTGATAGCAGTAATAGGAATAACAATATTTTTCCCTCCAAAGCCATGAAACCTAATAGATTGATCAATTTGCAGAAAACAAATCCACAATGACTGCTGTAGGGCAGCCACTGCTATGGCAGGGTGGGATGGGTGGAGTGACCCTCCGCCCCCAGCCACGCTTGGATGTAAAGTGGCTCAAGTCAGATCTGCAGAGCCTCCTGCAACCAGACAACCTGCCATCACTGTACAATCAGATGGTCAAGGATGGGGAGGTTGCAGGACCACATGTGGAGGGCATCCTCAACTCTGTTGGGGTCACTGCCAGGAGAGGTATGTTTGAGATTTTGTTTTTTGGATTTAACTTTACTTTTCCTTAGATTATTAAGCAATATAATTGACTGGCTCATTTTGAGGGTGTAGTTCAAACATTTTGTTTGTCCTGTCATTACAAGAATGTTAAATGGTGTTATAGAGAAATGGATGGTTTAAAAGAGGTGATCATGTTTTATCAAATTTTATTTCCTTGAAAATATAGTTTGCAAGTAGGATTAGTATTCATGTTGTAATTTTGACTTTAATGGAATAATTTGTGATATTACACTATGTATTCCTTGTTTTTAAGGTATGAATGGCATTATTAAAACATTGTGTATTGTACGATGTAATGTAAGTCTAAAATATATTGAAATACTCCAGGAGAAAGTGGTCACTACTACTGTGGCATGAAGGTCTTGACCTGCCCTTGCTGTGATGGAATATGTGGGCCTCAGAGTGGATGCAACTGTGGGCCATGCCAAAAGCTAGACCGTGAAGAGGCAGAAAGGGAACTTGAGAATGGAGAAGGCTTTACCCCTCCTTCACCCTCTCTTCTCGATGGTTGGACGTGGGGGCCGCAACCAGAGGCCAGTGATCTGAAGAAATGTTTAGATGTGCTTGTAAAGGAGCAGAGACTCATGTGTTTAGAGGCTGCATCCACCACACTCTCTGCCAGTCGTCTCCAGCAGAGGTTTATGGTGGCACATAGGTGAGTGCATTTGTGATGATGTGCAATGAATTTTGATAAATTTTCAAATCAATTTGTGGTGAGTTTCTCAGTGATAAAGATGAAAATTATGTGATTATATATTTTTTTTTATACTTGATACTCTTCATGATATTGATATGGAATTGTTACCATTGAATACAGCTATACAATAAGAAGCTTTAAATATCTGTAATTTTTTTTTTTCCCATTCTTAGATATCTTGTTGCACTGAAAAGAGCCAGACCACCAGAAACAAAAGCCGGGGAAAGTAATGGAAAGAAGAAAGTTCTTACTGCGAGTGTCTGGGGAGAGGGCCGTGTGGGAAGAGGTGCCGGAGCAGAGCGAGCCACTCTGGGACTTGCAAGAGTTGGGTCTAGAGCAGCACTGAATTTTGCATTTGCATTCCTCAGACGAGCATGGAGGTCAGGCGAGGATGCTGATCTTTGCACTGAATTGTTGCAGGTAATATTTAGTTTTGAAGAATATGTACACTATTTGTTGGAAGTCAGATTGAGTTAAATGAAATTCTTTGACTTGTCTAGTGCTTTATGATTTTATGACAAGTTTCATTTACTTAACATTTTGTACTTTGGAATATTTTAAATTGTATTTTTTTTCACAATGATTTTGATTAGTAATGCTGTCACAAATAAATGCACTCTTTGAGAAGGTCACTTCAGTTTTAAAATATCACCTTGTTAGACTTGATTTTAATTGAATTATTTGTATGAACATATATATTTTTTTCCCACTTACTTTGTAAATAAAGATTTGTAATGTAAGAATTGGACAATAAGTAAAGTTTTTTGTGTTACATTATACTCTTAATTTAACTTATTTAGATATTTGTACTTATGTATCCCTTTTTTCCCAACAGGAATCTCTTGAAGCTTTAGAAACACTCCCAGAAGCCACACTGTTTGATGAATCTTCTGTATCATCTGTTTGGCTGGATGTAGTGGAGAGATCACAGAAATTCCTCACTTCTGTCGTTCTGAGTCAGGTGTCGGGTGGAGGTAAGAGTAAGAGAGACATCCTGTAGCAGAAGTTTTGGGGTTGCAGGTCTTTTGTGTGGTTTAGGTGACATGATTAAAAGAGATTATTTAAAACATAAAATGTGTTAATGATGTAACTGAATAGATACTTGTTCCTTTGTCATTTAGATGTGAGGTTTTGCTTGTGAGTATTGAATTGGAAGAATTTGGAAAGAACATTCATTTGTATATGAAAATAAAGATTTGTGTTTTATAACAATAGGCCTATGTGCCTTTCTCTGGCTTTTTGGATTCATAAAATCTTGATGCAGGAACTGGTGGAAGCAGCATGACCCGTGTACCTCTTGGTGATCGGCACATGGCACTCTCCCTCCTGCTCCATTTGGCACTCCAGCGTGCAACTCTCTCCACCCTGTTGACAGTGATCACTCTTCTTCTCCAGCTGTGGGATTCAGGAAGGAATCAGGTATGTTGCATCAGATGGCAGAAAGTTGAAAAGGATGATAAAGGGGGATGTCAGGCTGAAATTATTTGGCTTGTCATCTTCTTATGAACCTGTTATTTCAGTTCACAGTTGTTACTAAAAATATTATTCGTCATTCATAATTATTTATGTGTATATTTGTTTGATTGACTTTCTAACAAAAATATATTTTCATTATTATTGGAGCTGATACAGATTTTCAGTAATAATGTACTAGAAGCTCAACATCAGAAATTTTATATTTTTACATTTATTGTCTTTCTTATCAATCTCAAATCAACCAAACCAGGTTGACAACCGTGTCAGCAGTCATGGCACAAGTGCACCACTACTTCCAGTCCTCCAAAGATTTGGTTCCATCCCTCTCCTCAAGTCACAGCCATCCTCATCATCATTGTGGGATGAAAATGCACCATTGGAGGTATATAGTTTTTGTCATGATTTGGTAACTTGATTTGCTTGTGATAAACCTTTTTTAATGTTGGGATTTAACTTGTGATAATTTGTTCAGACTCAGATGTGAAAGAAAACAACTTAGGCAATACTGAATCAGATCTATAAGAAAACAACTTGGACAATACCATGTCATCCTAATATTAGCATTTGTTAAATTAGTGAAGGGATGTACAATTTAATTTTACTTGCATCTAGGTAAGCCCAACCGAGTGTCTTCTGCGATACCTGGAGTTGCCAGAAGATGAGGAAGTAAGTGTAGACTTGGAACAAGCAGCAGTCATCCTCCTTTGTCACCTGGATCGCCTTGCTACCCCACACACTCCACCTCTTCACAGCCCACATGGAAGACCCACACAGGGGCAAGAGGTAAATTAGCATTTTATATTGTATTTAGAGATGTATTCCTTGGGAATCCTCTTCCTGAAACTGGACTGGGTCATGATATGTGTTGAAACAGAGTAAGGAATATCACGTTTCAGTTATTTGCCTTGGAGATGATAAGCAGGAAGCCTTAGGAATATGATTAAAGTGTGATGTCAGTAGTGGGGAAAATTTAAACAATTTTATCTCATTGTGTTCAGCCTAACTTTTTGTAAAAATTTGCTGTTTATTTTTTTTCAGGTCCTTTGTTGGGGTTGGCTGGCCTGGTCAGGCGTTGCTAGCCCATCAAGACCCTTAAATTACTGTGACTCACTAGCAGAGTTAGGAATAAAATCTGTTGCTTGTGCTGAGCGTTGCCTACTCATCCTTACACAAAAGGGAACAATGTACTGCCTTTACTATAATTCAGAGACACAGTGTCCTCAGCCAGTTCCAGGTCAACCTGAAGATGAAGTACTTAAGATAGCAGCCCACCCTGATGGAAAACACTATTTGGCTCTCACTGCTAGTGGCCAGGTGAGGAATTTCTATATGAATAGATATGGTCTACTATGAAATTCATTTAGTATTTGCATTTCTTGAAATTGTTTGTATTTTTTTTGTAATATACTTATTTTGTTGCTGCATATGATGAACTGATATTGATTGAGTGTATGTAGTTAATTCTCATTTTTTCATTTCATCACTAGGTATACTCATGGGGAAATGGAGATGGTGGTCGCCTAGGTCATGGAGACAGTAGTTCAAGAGAGGAACCAACTTTGATCCAAGAACTTCAAGGAAAGACTGTGATAGGAATAGCTTGTGGTTCAACATACAGTGCTGCTATTACAGCTGAGGGTGAACTGTACACTTGGGGTCAAGGCAACTATGGAAGACTAGGACATGGCTCTTCTGATGATCATAGTACACCAACTCTTGTATCAGCATTAAAAGGTATGCATTTTTTTTTATTCTGAGGAAATTTGCTTTCAGACTTACCTTTAACAATGTTTCATTTGATCATGTCATTGTATTCACAATCACTGACATAAACTAGTTCATAGGTTTTAATTTGAATGTTTACTGATTCACAGGAGAGCGTGTTCTTGATGTGGCTTGTGGAAGTGGAGATGCTCAAACAATAGCAGTGACAGATTCAGGTTTAGTCTACTCTTGGGGTGATGGAGACTATGGAAAGTTGGGGCGTGGTGGCTCAGACGGTTCAAAAGTTCCTAAGCTGGTGGACAAGTTACAGGTATGTTGAAAATTGTGGTTTTGTTTGTGGTTTTCCACCACTTATTCAACCATACAGAATTTAATGTTTTTAGATGCTAGTGTACTGTTAAATGAAAATTGAATCATATTACATCAAGAATTTAGAATTGCATAAGTAAATATACTAAGTATCTACATTTCATTGTTTAAAGGGACAAGAAATATGCAGAGTATTTTGTGGAGCTCAGTTCTCTCTAGCATTAAGCAAAAATGGATCCTTGTTCACGTGGGGGAAAGGTGACAATCATCGTCTTGGCCATAATAGTGAAGAGCACATTCGATATCCAAGACAGGTCAAAGCTCTTGCAGGTGAGATTTGATGTAATAAGCTGTATACTCAGTGGATGAATAATTAAGTGTATGGACCCTGTACAATACTTCAAGCACATGTTTCATAAATCTGAGTTTTCTGTATCTTATAAATACCTATTTATGATAACAAATCACGATCAAATTCAGGATGATATTCCCATATTTATTAATCTTCCTTATGTTACAGGCAAGAAGGTCCGTGAAGTGGCAGTAGGCTGTATGCACAGTGTGGTCCTTACTGAGGATGGGGAGGTGTACGTTTGGGGCCGTAATGATCAAGCACAATTAGGAGATTCGCCTCATGCTGCTCTGGCAGAACCAACATTGATGTCAGCATTGCACGGGAAGAGTATTATTGGCATTGCCTGTGGTCCATCACAAGTAAGTAACTTTAGTGCTGAAGCATTAGGTGTTTGCCTTTTTTCTCTTTTCTTTTCTTTTTTTGATATATTTTCATGATGTAGAACTTGAAGTAAATGTATTTGGTAGGGGAAGGAGTTTACTTTTTCATATGGTATTAATTTTTCTTACTTTTATCACTTACTTTTTTTTCTATTTCAGACCTTTGCTTGGAGTACAAAGATGTCATGGTCTGTCTCCACACGCACCCCGTATGTTGTTGAGGTTTGCGAAGAAACTTTCACTAAACTTAATGATCTGCTGGATCGAGTAGGAGAAGGCCTGGCAGATGATCACATTCCTTCACAAGAACAGGAGTGCATGGTAGTTGCTGGACTCAATCTTCTAAGGCTACAGGTAATAGCATTTGAAGGCTAAAAGGTATTAAAGGAGAGGCAGAAAGATGAGAAATGAATAAAGATGAAATGATATGAGTTAAAAAAAATGTAGGAATTATTTACAAGTGGATTGTGTATTTACTTGGCTGTCTTTTTTTCTCAGTTACATGCTGCTGTGCAGAATCATACAGATGTGGACAGTGTGGGCCTACATGTTGGATCTTCACTCCTCAGCAGCCTGAAACAGAGGGTTGTCAATCTTGCAAGTAGCTCAGGAGTTCTTCCAACAATTCAGGTATGCTTGATTAAATAAGTTCTATTATTAGAGTTCACAGCTTAAAAAGCTTGGTTGTAGTGTCTCTTAGTGAAGAGTTGTGAAATAATTTTGTCAATGTAAAAAATATAGGCATAGTCTGTTAGTTCTGTATTGATTATATTTTTGATATGTTCATCTCTACATTAAGATTGTATCCTGTTAGAAAGGCATGTTGACAATGTTGATCTTCATTTTGTTACAGGGAGCTGCACAAGCCACTCTTCAGACAGGCTGGTCCATTTTGTTACCAACAGCAGAAGAAAGAGCTAAAGCTTTGTCATCTCTTTTACCAAGTACAGGTAAATGGAGGAAATAAGTTTGAAATAATTTTTAGGTCATAGTTGATTTATACGCTGTTGGTTTGAATAAAGCAGTGTTAGTTGTGGTTGACATAGTGGTATCGTATAATGTTATCAGACTCTCCTTTTGTTTCCAAGGCATATGTATCTGTTTGCTCTCCTTGCAAAATATTTGAATAGGTAAATGTTACAGGCTAATTTAGGTCATAGTTGATTTATACGCTGTTGGTTTGAATAAAGCAGTGTTAGTTGTGGTTGACATAGTGGTATCGTATAATGTTATCAGACTCTCCTTTTGTTTCCAAGGCATATGTATCTGTTTGCTTTCCTTGCAAAATATTTGAATAGGTAAATGTATTTTTATTTTTCACAGGCTCAGATATATCTAGCATGAGCTCAGGACGTCGGTTCATGATAGATCTTCTTGTCTCAAGCCTTATGGCAGATGGAGGATTAGAAATGGCCCTTGATGCTGCTATAAAGTGTAAGCAACTTCAAATATAAGTTAACACAAAATTTTTAGTGTTCTGTGTTTAAAAAAAAAAGGTTGTTGTTTTGATATGTTCACCTCATTGTCTGTTTTGTGTGCTTCATGGTAATTCACCTTTACAGTCGAAGTGCAAGAAGCTGAATGCACAGAAAAGAATAAAGTGACCCAGAGTGCCACCATAAGTAGTAGCATCAACAGTGTTGGAGGAGCTAACATTAGCCCAAGAAAGAATGTGAGAGGGGGAGAAGGGGCTGCTGCTCGACGTTCTTTTGATAATTCTATGTCTGATGACCAGTCTGCCACATTGCCGCTACTCCACCTAGTGCGACAGCTCTTGAGAAATGCGTCAACACAAACACTGATGAGGTTACAGGTATAACTCTCCCATTTTTTATACATTTTGAAAAGTAGGTTTAGAGCTTCCTGGTATATTTACTTAAAAGAGTCATTTGTCCAACCAGCAAAGTCCTTTTAAAATATTTTTTTTTTACATTAAATATAACAATATAAGCAGTTCATGTGATGATTAGATACCCATGCCTTATTTTTATTATTTCAGGCAATAGCTCCAGACAACATGTCTATGATCTCATCTGCAGTGTTAATTGATGGACATAATGAAAGAAGTGGCAGTATGATGAGTGCAGACGGAGTGCAGGGAGATTTGTCACCATCCATTCAGCTGCTATTAAGGTTTCAGCGCTTGTTAGTCAGTCATTTGTTCCCAGTGGAAAGTAACATGAGCCCAAGACATGTTATGCAAGGTAATCTTTTTTTCCAATATTTGCTGTTTTGTACCTTGTAATGTAACTGATGATTTTATCTTCTTTTTATGTAAATAAAAAAAAATCAGTTATATTATTTTTATACAATCCAAATAATTAACCAAACAATGCTGCAGAAAGTGAACTTGAGGGAGCAGGATGGCTGTTGAGGAAGTACTTATCATTACTGGTGGGACATGTGTCAGACACTCTCTCCATTGCCACCTCCCTGGCCACCATCAACACTCGCCTCACAGCCCTGACTTGCACCATCCTCCAGAGAGATATCACAGGTCTTGTTATGGAAATAGATTTTGATGGCATGAAGTATAGTTATGAAATACATGTTTGAGATGCATAATGCAATATTGATTTCTTTTTCTCTCTCTCTCTGACTCCCTCCTCTTTTTTTTATATTTAAGGCCTGTTACTCAGTGAGCTGTTTGTGTCCCTCCTCGTGGTGTCAGTCCATAACCCCAATGTGGTTCTTTTGTGTGACCTTATCTCACCCTTGCTGAGCCTGCTGGAGCCCCTGGATAGGTTCAACCAGCTTGCTCCTGGTGCTGACAGGGAGGACACAGAAGACATGGCATGGCCAGGGATCATTGGTTAGTTAATCAAGTCTTTTTTGAAATATTTATAAACACTATTGCTGTATTTGTGAAATTTACTAAAAGATATTTGGTGGAACTGATAGGTAGTACAGGAAAATTGAATAGGTTTGTGATTGATTTGAATACTGGATTGATTAAGAAGAAAAAATAACTTTTTATAACCTTCCTCAGTAAATGCATCGAAGCAGACAGAAGAAGTACCAGTTATTCGAAAAGCAGACCTAGAAAATCACAACAAAGACGGTGGACTATGGATAGTGGTGAATGGAAAGGTTTATGATGTCCAAGACTTCAGGTATGGTTTTCAGTTTGAAAATAGGATTCTTATCATACAATTGTAGTCTTGATGAGATTTGTAATTTAGCTGCTTAAGTTTTTCTCACTTTTCTTTCAAGGTTAAAATTTTCAGTTTTCAATTAAAGAGGTTTCTTTTGTGGGCTCATACGAGGTTCATAATTATTTTAGGATAGTGATATTGATATACTCCATTTTGTGTCTCCAGATCGACTGCCCCTTGTGGCAGTGACATACTTCAGTATTATGCGGGACAAGATGCTACACAGGTGTGGGAGATGGCAAACCACTCGGCTCGGGCCAAGGAGATGATGGCCAGTTATTTTGTGGGGAACTACATGGACCCAGAACAAGAAGTTGTACAGGTAAGTTATATGAATTCTATTTGATGAATATGAATTTTACCATCAGTCTGCATAACTCTTTGTTTATCTAATATATATATATTTTTTTTTTACATATATTTTAGCTGTAGGCATGCCTGGCTGTAAGTGGTTAAAGGTATCTAATTAGCTTTCTTCAAGAAATGTGAATGGTTGCTTTTCTATGCAGGTACTTGATGCAAGCACACTGTCTTCACCACTGGTAGACACTGAAAGGGCTCTTGCCATGCTCATAGGAGTTTATGCAAGTTGCCAAGCTCGTGGCCAGCCTGTAACTCCTCGAGAATTAGATCACGAGAAATGGATTTCAGCAGAATTCATGCGAGCTGGTTGTCAGGTAAAGTGTTTATATTTTCTTGAAATATTTTTTTATGGCACTGGTTCTAGATTATGAAACAAGTTGCTTGTTTACAGTTAAGTTTAAAATAGTCTTTGAACATATTTTAGGTGTCATGTTGCTAATATTGTTATTCAATTTATTATTCTATATAATAAGTATTAAAATTTTTGAAACAGAACTACATAACATGGAATAATTCTTTTTTTGATGGCTGGAAACACCGACCATTTAACTTACAGCCATAATAGGTGAAGTTCTTTGCACTAACTCATAGAATGATATGACATGTAATTTCCTTCCCACAGACTGTCCAGCCACCTGACCCCTATGATGAAGAAAAAGGAGAAGCTCGAACAGGATCTTCGGCCACAACTCCAGGCTCTGTGACAACGCCAGGAGATGTCAGACTTCCTCGGCCAATGGATCCGTTGGCACACAAGAAGTCAAGACCACAGGGGCAGACATCTGGACCTCAGGTTGAAATTGACACATATTTCTCGAACATGGCAGATTATTTCCTGTCTGCTTTAATGGAAGGGAAGACGCAGGTGAGTTGGGGATGTAGGCTATGTGTACATTCCTTGATGTGTTTTACTGTTGTTGAAATGGAGAACTTCAAGTGGCTATGGTACTGGTAATAAGAATGAAATATTTCAGTACCCTAGTTTATTTCGTCCTTGAAGAGGTAATGCCAATTTTAATCTTCTGTATAGTAATAAGTTAAACCATACTTCCAGGATCCATATGTTCAAATGTTCCTATCAATTTGTGATCGAGAGATTCGGCAAAGTGGACGACATTCCTTGCATACAAATTTTTCCCTTGATCATCCCATTGAGGAAGTTGGTCGCCTTGTGTCTGCCACCCTTCTGCGACATACACACCTCACTGCGCAACTTATTGAAGTGATTGAGCAAGGTAAGACAGATTTTATAATAGGATTGGGATTGTGTGCTTGCATTTGGGAACATTTTGTATGTAATTTTTCTGGGGGAAAGGCACTTAGTTTGCTATATACGCTATAGATAGATAATCATACATACAATTATGTATCAAATTCTTCCAGGTTTAGCTTTAAGTGCTGAGGACAGCCATGGTTGGGAAGCAACTCTGGACTTACCCCGGGGTTTACAAGAAGTGATTCGTCATGTCCACAACACCAAGTGGCTTCTGATCAGGCGTAGGCAAGAGCTGACACGCTCTTATAAAGAAGTGTGTGCTCCTGTTATGGAAAGATGCAGGTAATGTTTGTTAAAGTGGTTAAGAACACATATTATTAAAGCAACAAGCATTACTAATAGAAATTGAAGGTGTTTCTACAGGAGATACAATGTTTGTTCTAATGGAATAGACAGGGTAATTTGTACAACAGTTATATAGTTATTCAAGATTCATAATGAAGAAGTTGTTGACAAATCAGTGAAAGGAAGAGCAGAGAAACACACAATTCTACTGATAATCAAGCATTTTTGTGCACTTCCCTTTATTGTTGTAGTTCAACATAGAGTACAGTATATCATTATCCTAGATTGTCAGTAGAGGGCCAAAGAAATGTTATCAGTTTGTAGTTTCACTGATTACAAGAATTTGGAAAAGTTGAAATAAAACTTAAAGAAAACAAGATTAGTCAACATCATTCCTCTTCATCAGTTAAAAATTATAGCAAATACCACTGTTTACCTGCAGATTTGTTTTCTATGAAGTTCGTCCTGCTAGTTGTGGAGACGTTGAAGCTCTGGAAAAGTTTGCTGTACGAGGGATCTCAAGATGGAGAAAAGCGACACAGCTGCTTCGTTTGCGGTCTAATGACACCACCGCCACCAGTCAGGAGAAGGATGAACCACAGGTATTAGTAATTACTTAATAAATCTTTCAATAGGGATTTTAGATTTGAGTGCTATAAAGATTTTATAACTCTAAGTTGGGAATAATGAGGTAACTCTCATATTCCTAAGATTTATACAGTGTGTGATGTTGGATTTGTTAATTTTCAGCTAATACCTTTTTATTTTGCGGGTGGGAATTAAGAAAGTAATAAAAGTATTATTCATTCCATTTGTTAGATTCAGAGTTTCTGAGAGACAATACTTTCTTCCATGATGCTTCAGCAGGACACCAAAGGAACATCAGGATCAGTGGAAGACATTAGCATCAGCAGCAGCAGCCACAGCATGAGTGAGGCCGGACCCAACGGCAATGATGGTTGTGATCTGGACGTCAGAAGTGGCCACCTGGACAAGGGAGAAGACCTTTGCAAGGACCTTACAGAACCCTTGGATCTTAGCCGGCTACCAGGGGATCCAACTCTTGACAACAACATCAAAGTAGATGGAGATGTAGATGGGACTGATAAGGAGAAGAAGGTGCCAACTGAATTGAAGAAACCTCCCGTCGAAGGCAAGAAAGCATCTGTCAGCCTTAACCTGAAACGGTCCCCTTCACCGCCTGGGGCAACACACTCGCCTTCAAGGCCATCCTCACGTAAGTAGGAGACATTCAGTGGCAAAAGTTGGACTTGCTTTCAGAATCTCTCTTTGTTAGGGTGAAAATTGGTATAATAACTTTGTTTAGTAATAAGGTTGATTGATCATTGATGCTGTGAGAATAATGGTGCAACTATTTTGATTCCTCCACAGTCTTGACCCCAACAGCTCCTCCATCAACAGCAAAGGTTGTTGAAATTTCTACAAAAATAATTGAATTTGTATGTTCAGAGGAGACTATTGATATTGAAGCAATGCGTAAGGCATTTTTCTCACAGGTATGTATTTCTTTGCTACAGATTTGTCGATTGCACATAGTATTTTATTTATTTACTAGGTTTGCAGTTTCTTCTTTCCATTATATTTTTATTCACCCATAAGTATAAATGTCAAGTGATCCCAGCACATCTTGATATATTCATCACTAATTACACTAAAATTCTCATGTATGTGTTTCTTACAAGGATTATTTGTCACTTCATTTTTGTAGAAAAGGTTGAAAAAAGCTATCATTGTCATATTATTTTTGGAATTTTCAGATGGAAAGAGCCGAGACTCGTTTGCAGGGCATAGAAATGTTTCTTGGCCTTGTTCAGAAGAATAATCTACTACCTTCAGTGAGACTCACCCTCATTAATGGTTGGCTGGGTTTGCTTCCATTTGCTCCCAAGAACACGTGAGTTAATTCTTTTATATCCATTAAATGCTACCTCTGATTGTGTATAGAATAGTTGTTCAACTATAGAGAAGATAGATTGATAGATGGATGGATAGATATTAGATGAATAAATAGATTTAGATATATATCTCTCTATTTATCTAATAATCTATAGATTTATAGATAGATAGATAGATAGATATGGATATAGATAAAGACATATAAATAGATATAGATAAGAGACAGAGAAAGATCTGCTGCTTGTATGATGTAATTAATGAATACAGAAATATTGGATTTTTTTTTTTTTCTTAAATCAGAGTTGAAGTTGAATGTTTAATTATTGGATGTATTTTACAGTCTTGTTCTTCCTGACTGTTTGGAGAACATTCCGCTTGTTCCTGTATATCAACGAGCAGTTTTAAGAGCTGCCTGGGCACAAGTATGGGAATGGGCTGTGGGAGAGCTTCGTGCACATGTGCTGAAGGCAGAGCAGCATTGCGTTGCTGCACACTCAACAGGAAGATTGCTGAAGGGTCGAGACAACCCCACTTATAAAGACTCCAACCTTAGCTGCCGAGATCATAACATTTTAGCCTCCATGCCCTTATCAAGGTACATGTTATTTCCCTGCTCTTGTTATTTGCATTGTTATTACCTTGTGATATTCTTTGATAGAGATTTAGTTTTTTCTTTTTTATTGGGCTTATTGGATTTCTTTTCCTTTCTTTCTCTCCACCATTTTTTGGTAAGAAAATTATTATAGAAGACCTTGATACAGTGTTTCATGATACAGCTGAAATTTTATGCTTTGGTTTTCTTTATTTTGTAAGAAAAGTTTAAACCTAATTATAAAGGATTATTTACTCTTTTCTCAAGAAAGGATTTCCATGTTCTTTAATCCATGAAATAGCTTTTTACATTCATGTGGTATGCATTCTTTCAAAAATCCTTTAAGAAAACAGATTAGATATAATTGTTGCTGTTTTGTTTGTAGTAGTTGCATATTATTGTACTTTGAATATTTTATTCATTAGTATAGTAAGATCCATTGTGATTCTTAAAATCAGTTTTACCTAGTTTGTAATACATTAACTTGATTTATTTTATTTCATTTCTTCCACAGATTCGTACTGTCTTTGGTGTGCCTTACGACAAGAGCTCACACTGGAGCTGACCTGAGTCTCCTGGTGTCAGGGGGGCTTTTGGCATTGATACAGACGTTACTCAGGCTTATCGGTAAATTATTGGGCTGGCTGCTTCTCTCCTTTCTGTGGATTTTATGAGAATGTGCAATCAGATTTGTATGTATGTGTGTATATAGATGTATGTGTGTGTGTGTGTGTGTGTGTGTGTGTGTGTGTGTGTGTGTGTGTGTGTGTGTGTGTGTGTGTGTGTGTGTGTGTTGTGTGTGTGTGTGTGTGTGTGTGTGTGTGTGTGTGTGTGTGTGTGTGTGTGTGTGTGTGTGTGTGTGTGTGTGTGTGTGTGTGTGTGTGTGTGTAAATTATATTATATAGGATTAGTTCTTTGTTACCCTTGTTCCTGATAGATGAAGTAGATCAGTAAAGGAAGTTCCAAATAAATATTTTTTCCTCAATAAAGCAGTGTATATTTTGTTTTCAGGCCCATCAAGTTCCTCTGCCAATAGAGAAGCTGATAAGGAAGAAATGGTAGCAATCTTTGAAGAAGCGGCAAAGAAACCTGCTATGCCACCCCCTCCTCTCTCTGGTCCAGAACTTGCTGCTATGATGAAGGTGAGAATAGATTAAGGGATGATTTAGATGCTCTAATGTTTTTATCTGTGATTATTCAGTGTTTACATCATAACCATAGACCTCCCAAATTTTGCTTGTTCTGTTACCAAGTTTCACTCTCCTGGTATTTCCAATATAGTCAGTGGTATTGCTTTTGTGCCATTGTATCCCTAACATCAAATTCTATTTTTTTTTCATGATGAGTGTTATCAAGATGTAGATATATCATTTAGCTTTGATCTTTGCCTAGGACCTCAACACAGACCCAGCTATATTTGAGTATTTTTTTATATTACTTTAAAAATTCCTTCTAGAATTTAGAAATGCCATAATTAAACCTCTTGATAAAACGTCTCTCAAACTCAGGTTGGGACGAGAGTTGTTCGTGGCATAGACTGGAAATGGGGCGACCAGGATGGACCTCTCCCTGGCGAGGGCACTGTCATTGGAGAGCTGGGAGAGGATGGTTGGATCCGGGTGCAGTGGGATAACGGGTCCACCAATTCATACAGGATGGGCAAGGAGGGGAAGTATGACCTGAAGCTGGTGGATTCCCCACTGCCTCAGCCCCCAGAGAGTGAGTCGGACACGGAAGAGGAGGAAGGTATGTTTCCCTGTGCTGCTCTTGCTCTCTTGTACTTTTCTGGGGGTTGCATAGCACTATCACTTAAATGCTCATTATTTATAAGGATTACCATACAGTATAACAAGCTAAAGGGAATAGTTTAATGAAGATGACTTGATATATTTGTGATAATGAATATATGGCAAAGCTGGCTGGTTTTTGATTCAGCATTGCTTTTGGTTTATTATGGTATAAATTGCTATTATAGGCATGACAAGTGTTAATGCTTTTTGTCTTGTTACAATATAACATTCCCATTGTGTAGAAAATTCATTTCATATAGATTCAAAGAGTCTTCTGGATCATGCTAGGACATTTGTTACGGAACTCATTTCTCACAGTGTGAGATGTTCAAGGTAAAATCTCTCTATTTATCTCTACTGTTCTCTCTCTCTCTCTCTCTCTCTCTCTCTCTCTCTCTCTCTCTCTCTCTCTCTCTCTCTCTCTCTCTCTCTCTCTCTCTCTCTCTCTCTCTCTCTCTCTCTCTCTCTCTCTCTCTTTCTTTCTCTCTCTCTTTCTCCCTCTTTCTCTTTCTCTTTCTCTTTCTCTTTTTCTTTCTCTTTCTCTCCAGTTACTAAATTATTTTTTGAAGTGTCAATACTTTTTTTCTTTTCTAGTGACAGAATCCAGCTATGTAAGGAAACATCCCATCTTGGTCCTTCGTGATTCATGCCTCCACTTATTAAGATCTGTGACTATATCAACTGGTCTGACTGCTCAGTGCATGTCCCAGTCCAGTGTCCGCACCCTGGCTGCCTTGCTCCACGGCATTGTTCAGGTCTGTTCATGTTTTATTTATGTTTGTCTGAAGTATCTATGAGGAATTTGTTTTTTTGTTAAAGTTTTTACTATATTTCTAAACTGAAAGCAGGTTTATGTTGTTCTGAAAAGATGATAATGTTAATTTTTGCCACACAATTTATATTACTAGGTTTATTAGTTACCATAAGCACCAATTTAGAAAATGTTTTTAAGTAGCTGTTATTAGATTTGCTTTTATGAAATGAATGAGCTAATACTAAATTGTATAGATTTAATATCTTTTGACTTATTTTTATATATTACATTAATGGATTTGGTTATTAGGGCTAAGAAGAAAAATAAAAACATTCTTTGTTTCATTTCTCTACAACTTGTTATGAACCGTATTCATGTAGACAAATGTAGAAAAGGTATGAATGAGAATGAATATCATCACAATACAATTGATGTATTTGACCAATTTCAATTACATCTTTATCAGAAATAAATGTATTTCTGACAAAGATATAATCGAAACGGTCAAATACATCTCATACCTTTCAACAACATATTATCTTTACAGGCTGGAACAACTCAGTCAGATGAGCGTGACCCCATCCTAGAAGAGCAACACAAGTCATGGGCTACGTTGGGATTGATACGGTCCGTGAGCTGCTCCCCAGTTCTCTGTCGCAACTTGGCAACACCCCCATGGGTTAGCCTCCTACTGACCCTTGCGCAAACATTTTTAGGACCTGCCTCCCTCTACAGAAGGGTGAGACTCCATATCCTGTTTTCTTTTAGCTGCATATATATATATATATATATATAGAGAGAGAGAGAGAGAGAGAGAGAGAGAGAGAGAGAGAGAGAGAGAGAGAGAGAGAGAGAGAGAGAGAGACCATTTTTTTTTTTTTTTGTGTGTGTGTGTGTGTGTGTGTGTGTGTGTGTGTGTGTGTGTGTGTGTGTGTGTGTGTGTGTGTGTGTGTGTGTGTGTGTGTGTGTGTGTGAGAGAGAGAGAGAGAGAGAGAGAGAGAGAGAGAGAGAGAGAGAGAGAGAGAGAGAGAGAGAGAGAGTGTGTGTGTGTGTGTGTGTGTGTGTGTGAGTGTGTGTGTGTGTGTGTATAATTTCCAATAATTTTCATACTTTTGCAAACTTAAATGTGTTTGTTTCCCTAGATACTTGCCATCCGACTTCTAGCTTCTGTGCTGCCACATCGCATTGATGACCTTGAGGAACGCCAGATGCTTCTTGATCGCATCTTTGCTCTTCTTGGAAATACACTTCTCACCTGTGCCAATGACCCAGCCATTAGTGTCTCAAGTATGTGCCTCGGCTTCCTCTGATGCAGTGGTAGTTTTGCTCATAATACTGATTTTTGGTGGTTTCCACGATGGATGAGGACTAAAAGAAATATCAGTTCTTATCTAGAAAAAAAGTTTTTGTTTTTAGTCTGTAGTGGAATTATACTCCTCTTTTTATGAATAACTATCACCATTTGATTAGGTTACAGATTTCTATAGAATTTCAAAGATAAGTAAAAGATAAACAATTTGACACACCTTATTTTCTTGGATGTTCATGCAAACAACTACTATATTCGTTTCAGGCAAGAAGGCTCGTGGTACTTGTGTTGCAATAACTGCAACTCATTCAAGTACAGTTGTGGAGGCTGTAGTATCCCTTGTGAGAACTTTACATGCTCTCCCAGTATGGAACAGTGTTATTAATGATGCCATCACAGATCGCCTGAGCTTAGTGGCTCAACTGTTGTCTGATCTGGCTCAGTTCCAGTTGAAGGTTAGTATTCTTTGTGAATGCAAGTATGAAATACACCCATGTTATTGCTAATTGAAGTAAGTAGTCACCTTAGTTGTCCGTAGATATTGATGGATAATTTGTCTCTCCTCAGGTTGATGATTGCAGGCCTGGCAGTTTAGTTGGACAAGCTGCAGGAGTAGCAGCATCTTTGGCTGTGATTGGGGGTCTCGATGCCAGACCAAGATTAGGAGGCGATGTTCTTCTAGAAGATGAAGCGCTCGGTAAGTATTTTAGGTGTTTGGCCAACTGATTTTTAAAATTATTATTATTATGTGATGCAGGTACAGCTGTTTTGAAGATACATTTTACATTGTTTTTTTATTTAATTTTTTTTTAACAGGTACAATTGCACGCATTGGTCACCACAAAGTCTATGTTCAGCCACATGAAGGTGGCACCCTGTTGAAACTTGGCCTGTCTTCAGTGGTTCCATCTCCTACAAAACAGTTTGCTATAGGTAGGTTTTAATGTTTTGTAATATTCTTCCTGTATCAGATATTTTTTCAAAGTTAAGAGATATTGATATTTGATTAATATGAAAAAACGTTTAGAATTCTATCTTCCACCAGATCGCTTAAGCATAACTGCAGCATGTGTGCAAATGTGGGTTTCACTGGTTGCTCTAGCTGGTGATTATACAAGAAATTTCCATGTGTCAACACCATTGTCTCTGTCTCCAACTCTCCTAAGAATACAACAGGTTAGAAGCTGATATTGTTTATAATTTGTTATTTGTATCATAACTACTTATAATGAGCATGTTGTCCATCCCTCTAAGAATAGACCAGTGGTCCTCAAACTGAGTGCTGAAGCACCTAGGTGTTGTGAACAGTGCTTAAGGGTGCTGCAGCATTCCAGAGTAAAGTCTGTGAATGCAGTAAGTTAGTCTCATTCTTCAGGGGAATTTTGTTTGTCATGTGCGTGTGTAATGATTATTGAGTTTCAAGCAGCAGTAATTTGTGGAACAAGGGAAGATGTGCTTTGGTAAAAAATAAATGCTTCATGTGAGGTAGGCAAGAAGAGGGGGCAGGTAATGAAAAGGATGCTGCAGAAAGACATTATGAGTTGAGGATGCTATAACTGAAAAAAATAATAGACTAATATCAGGAGAGAAGACATAAATAACATCCATTTGCCCACAGATTCGTATGTTGGTGATACGAGGTTGTCGAGCTCTTCTCACCCATCAGTCTCTCTTAAGGCTGGTCCTCTTGCAGCCAACTAATGATATCAGCACCTCCACCAACAATCTTGATGCAGGAGAAGATACCAGTCAGAGCTCAGAGGTTTGTGAGCTGTTTTTGTCGCTTTTTGTTAGTGCATATGTGGTTGGTTGTCTGTTTTGATAGCTATACTGTGAGAAACCCTAGCTACAGGTAAATGGTTAGTACAGAGAGAGGTAATTGTGGTGCCTGTTGTCAGGTTCATGTAAGTCATTGAGGCTCTCATATTTTATAGTTCCTAAAACTAGGTAGTAGGAACTCTCTTCTGGTGTATACTATTGCGCATTTCATTTTCTTCAGTTTAAAAAGCCTTGATGCACTATATTTTTGTATTTATGCTGTGTAAATGAAATGAAAGGGACATAACAAAGTGAAATGGGACACCCAACATATGTCAGGAAAGTATTAATGCAATTTTTTTTGTACAGACTTTGACTTAAAGGCAAGGATAACAAGAGAAATTATATGAATACTGCATATATTAACCTGTTGGATCTGGGATTAAGACTCCGTGCCTTCTCTTTGCAATGCTGTTAGCCCTTTTTTGCAGATGCATCATTGCTGTTTTGCCATTTCCCAAGGTTCATATTTGCCCTTTATTATGCTGTATCAAGATTAAGATTGACTATCTTAGTTGAGCAGACTCCGTTAAGTTTACATTTTTTTATATATTTTTTATATATTCATATTATTCAGTTTTATGTAACACACCCTACACTGCTGATAAATCTGGGTTCCTGTTTATGGACATAATGACCTGTCTAGAGAAAGCCCTTTCCCAGGTATAGTTGACTGATAGTAAACTTCACCTTTCGGACTGGTGGAAGTCTAGCAGGAGCAGGACTTTCCGACACTCAGTAACAATTTCCCATGACAAGACTTTCCTGTCATCCACCCTTTGGCCAAATTTTTTCATGGCAAGGCATTCACGTCACCTGGATCCAATGGGTTAAATAGTAAATAGATAGAGATAAATAGGGAAAATTTTGTCATTAGGGAAGTGACCATTGTGTATGACATTTTACAATGGAGCAACTCAAAATCCCATAGAAAAAGAACTAAGTTTTGTTTTCATGCCTGCTATTATGTGTAAGACTTATAGGTCTAATATACTAGGCACTGTAACAAAAAGTGAAGAAAACAAATGAAAAAGAAATACCATCGGGCTTAAATGAAAAGCAGCCACTTTAATAGAGGCTATGCTACTTGAGCACTGGTTAGAAGTGACTTGACAAAACACAGCAGTCATTTTTAAGAAAGGGCTGAATTCCTTGTAATGAGTTGAAAGGCTGAATACCCTTGTTGGATGACTCTCATGGAGCTAGGTCTTCAGATGAGTGTTGGTGCTGTTGTAAAGTATGATTACTGCCTCTGTATAGAATGTGGCACTTGGAGAAGGTGACCCAACAACAACATCAGTGGACTTGTTCTCACCATGGGACTTCATGGAAGTTAGTAGCAGCGGCTCGTCTGAAAACTCCTTCCAGTGGTACATAAGGAGGCCTTGGGTATGTTCTGCAACAAACTCCATACGAAACACCAGGAATGTTTTGCGCTATGCCACTGATGACCTAGATTTCCTTTGTGCTTTTTGGATGAAATTTGAGAATATTAATGTCTGTCTACAGATATCTCACCATATCAATGAGGATCTTCCATCTAAAAGTCCCTTTGGGATGTCAATGAAATGTGTATCATCTGTAATAAGAAAGGTCTTCAAGAACTATCTGAAAGCTATTTTCATCTTCAGTGATAGATAAGCCAAATTTATCTCAGCTCTGCATTAATGTATAATTGCTTAAAATGCACAGTGGCTGAATGAATGATGCGGAAATGATAAACTTCTGTCTGAATCAGTGCATTAGGATGATGTAATCTGTGGTAATGAAAGTCAGTCTGTCATTAAAGTTTGTACAATCTGCTTATAGTATGTGTTCTTTAAATGCATGTTAAACAGTTTCCAGATCATCTTGATCTTTTTAGCATTCATGATGAAAAAATAGTAATAGGTAACTTTGCTTTAATAGTTGGTTTTGTTATAATGAAGGAAAATTTAAATAGGCAACATTGCTCTGTAGGTCTTGTAAATAATATTTTGTAAATATTCTGTATAGTTTGAGAAGCCAGAGAAATTTCTTGAAAATTGCAAGAAGGTTCATTATGAAATGCATCATAAGAAAATGATAAGGCAGTAAATACTGTGGCAGTTTATTCAGTACTGAACTGTGTATGTGGAATGAAGGCTTTATTGCAAACCTTGGCAGTTGCAAGTGCCTGTCCTTGTCAGCTTGGTGTCTTGCTTCAGCCTAAGCAGTAGAGATTATATATTCAATGTTACTTTCATGTACAACAGAAGTATAATGGAAAAACACATGTATTTACTGTATATTAAGACATGCAGTTATATCTGATCATTAGATAACACCTGATTCTATTACTTTCATGATAAGTCAGCTGAATTAACCCGCCCCCCCCACAAAAAAAAAAAAAAAAAACATTTTGGCAATCTTACCTTCATGCCCAGTTTCACAAATGGCATAATTTTTTTTATCTTTCACTATAAATGTTTTTTTTTATAATTAAGGTTTGTAGATTAACTTTATGCACCAGAAATTGTGTCTCATACTAGTGCTTAAATGCAAAAAAGTTACCGGTGCCATAGAATATGGAGAGGAAAAAGGACGGGAAGACGGATGGGAAAATATAGAATATATGTGGGAGGAGATATACTGGAGAGACAGAGACAGAGACAGAGACAGAGACAGAGACAGAGACAGAGACAGAGACAGAGACAGAGACAGAGACAGAGACAGAGACAGAGACAGAGACAGAGACAGAGACAGAGACAGAGACAGAGACAGAGACAGAGAGAGAGAGAGAGAGAGAGAGAGAGAGAGAGAGAGAGAGAGAGAGAGAGAGAGAGAGAGAGAGAGAGAGAGAGAGAGAGAGAGAGAGAGAGAGAGAGAGAGAGAGAGAGAATTTGGTTAGGAAAGACTCCTGCTAGACTAGAGTTAGGGAGAGAGAGAGTTAGGGAGAGAGAGAGTTAGGGAGAGAGAGAGTTAGGGAGAGAGAGAGTTAGGGAGAGAGAGAGTTAGGGAGAGAGAGAGTTAGGGAGAGAGAGAGTTAGGGAGAGAGAGAGTTAGGGAGAGAGAGAGTTAGGGAGAGGGAGAGTTAGGGAGAGAGAGAGTTAGGGAGAGAGAGAGTTAGGGAGAGAGAGAGTTAGGGAGAGAGAGAGTTAGGGAGAGAGAGAGTAAGGGAGAGAGAGAGTAAGGGAGAGAGAGAGTTAGGGAGAGAGAGAGTTAGGGAGAGAGAGAGTTAGGGAGAGAGAGAGTTAGGGAGAGAGAGAGTTAGGGAGAGAGAGAGAGAGAGATGAGAGAGAGAGAGAGAGAGAGAGTTAGGGAGAGAGAGAGAGAGAGAGAGAGAGAGAGAGGCATGACCAATGATAGGAGGCACTCTTATGATTTAGAGAGACTATCGGAACTAGAGAGAGAGAGAGAGGAGAGAGAGAGTTAGGGAGAGAGAGAAGTTAGGGAGAGAGAGAGTTAAGGGAGAGAGAGAGTTCGGGAGAGAGAGAGTTAGGGCGAGAGAGAGTTAGGGATGAGAGAGAGTTAGGGATGAGAGAGAGTTAGGGACGAGAGAGAGTTAGGGCGAGAGAGAGTTAGGGAGAGAGAGTTAGGGACGAGAGAGAGTTAGGGCGAGAGAGAGTTAGGGAGAGAGAGGTTAGGGAGAGAGAGCGTTAGGGAGAGAGAGCGTTAGGGAGAGAGAGGGTTAGGGAGAGAGAGAGAGGAGAGAGAGAGTTAGGGAGAGGGAGAGTTAGGGAGAGAGCGAGTTAGGGAGAGAGAGAGTTAGAGAGAGAGAGAGAGAGGCATGACCAATGATAGGAGGCACTCTTATGATTTAGAGATACTATAGGAACTAGGGAAATGGAAGTTTGGGGGAATACAAGCTATATATCATGAAACTTAAAATTCTATACTTACCATGTTCATTCACAAGTATCAAAGAGACATACACTACAAGGATTCTTATTTTATACTTAGAGTTTTATACTATATTCATTTGCAAGAAGGAAAAAAAAGGTGGGGACAAAACTAGGACTCCCCTTATGTAATTGGCTCTGGGAGATGAAGAGGAACAGTCAGAGGGTGGGGATATGCAATCAGCAATCTGTGCTAATGAAATTTTGATGTCATTCTCATTCACACCTGTTTTCTTATTTATTTACAGTGAACCAAGTTCACCAATATTGGGGGAATGGTGAAGTTATTTCAAGATGAAATGCAAAAATAAACTACATCAGTATCCTATACTAATTTTATATATAATGAAAAATTGCACAATTAACTAAAAGGAATAGCCGTGTAAAAAAGTAACGTAGTAGCTTAAAAGTTGATTATGTGGTTATAGATCGTGACATTCTGTATGTTATTATTATATAAGAATTTTCACAATTGGCAATTATAACGCAGTAACATTATTATTTTTATTACCTTTTTATTATCATCAACTTCTACTTTGACATTGTCATAGATATCACTGTCAAATTGTCATCATCATCATTGTTATCTCTCTTACCTGATCATACAGTCATTCAGAATCGGTGTCATTGGTCATTAGTTATTCATAATACATTAGTCATTGGCCTTTATAAATCATCATCTTTCATCACCATCCTAAGTTGACCACTTGTAATGCAGTGACATATACTCTGCACAGCTTTCTAGTGTAAAGCCAAGGGCAACAACAAACAGAAGTGAATGAATCCTTTCTGATCATCCGGTATGAAAATACCAGTTACAATAAGGTTTGACAGTGAGTGGTTGAAGTACTACATTAGTCCTAGCACCATAGGGAAAACTAAAACATAAATTCTCTTTCTTTCTAGGTCTTTGCTTTGAATTTATTATGCTTATATCCTTATAAAAGCTGTCTAACTTAAATGCAACCAGAGAGATTAATACTGCCTTGTAGAATGCATTAAAGATGACTGAAAGGACTAATAAATCAGTTTTTACTTTTCTTTAAAAGGTTTGTGATTGACATGAAAATATTAATAACTGTTAGGAGATTAAATGTACAAATGTTTACACATATTATCCGTTCCAGATCCTGTTGATTCAACGTCTGATCACTGCTGCTACACCACCTTCACCTGTCAAGGCATCATATACTAGGGAACAGTTAGAGGTACATATCTTCTCTAGTTCTGCATTGGATATGTTCTCTGTCTCTGTCTCCCTCTGTCTCTGTCTGTGTGTCTGTCTGTCTGTGTGTCTGTCTGTCTGTGTGTCTGTCTGTCTGTCTGTCTGTCTGTCTGTCTGTCTGTCTGTCTGTCTGTCTGTCTGTCTGTCTGTCTGTCTGTCCCCCCCCCCCCTCTCTCTCTCTCTCTCTCTCTCTCTCTCTCTCTCTCTCTCTCTCTCTCTCTCTCTCTCTCTCTCTCTCTCTCTCTCTCTCTCTCTCTCTCTCTCTCTCTCAATATCTCAATCTCTCTATCTCTTTCTCTCTCTCTTTCTCTTTCAATATATATATATATATATATGTATATATATATATATATATATAATTATATATAATTATATATATATATATATATATATATATATATATATATATATATATATATATATATATATATATATATATATATATATATATACATATGCATACATATACATACATATATGTATGTATATGCTATACATATACATATATATTTATATATACATACATACATATACATATACATACATATACTTACATATATATATGCATATATTTATATATACATATACATGCACTTTTTGTATGCATTTAGAAAGTGAAAATTAATGTCCATTTAACCAACTTTTCAGACTGCAGCCCTGGCATTGTGTGAAAGTCTAACGGAAGAGATAGCACAGCCTACTCCCCCAACTCCTTGCTCCAATGACGATCTCTCAACTCCTCTCAGTGAACATTCCATTGGTCCACCATCTCCTGGTATTCTGGTGGATAACCATTCAACACAGTCTCGTCAAACGCACCCGTCACATACCACACGAGGAAAGAGGACTCGAACAGTGCCCCCTTCGCCTTTAGTGCGCCAGCTGATGGAAATGGGCTTTGCTCGTAAAAGTGTAGAACATGCTATCAAGGCTCTAGGTATGGTGCATTTCTCTGTGGTCTTTTGTCTCTTTTATATTATTTCTATCAAAACTATGTAGAAGTTGCTGAAGAGTTTAATGTTTCTTTTTGTGGTTACAAAACCTGCTGTTCCTGAAGTCAAAGCACCTTTTCTGACCCATTAGATAATATGACTTCTCTGTAAATTTACCATGCAACAGGAGGCCTTGGAACTGAAGTGACACCCAGCCCCGAGTCCTTAGTGGTGTGGTTGATAGAACATGCTGATCTCACGCTGTCAGACTCCGACAGTGCTCCAGATGTCCTTGACTCAGATGCTGATTCACTCACTGATGAATTTAATGATGAGCCACCATTGTTGGAGGTAAGGAGATTGCTTTAATTAATTCACATGATTTTTTTTTTTTTTTACCCCAATGGATTTGCAAGAAATTACTTACATATAGTATTTTGAAAAATATGTGTCTCCTAGATTTATGAGATATGTTATTTAGTCATTTTAAGAGGTGACTTGCTAATTAGCAGCTTGTAATTTTTGGCTTTCCTTTTTTCAGTCCTCTCCTGTTGTGGAAGTATATCGTAAACGTTCAGAGTTCACCAGTAATGATGAATATGCTATGTATGTTCGGGATCATATCTGCCCTGGGATGACTGTCCGGTGTTGCAGAACTTATGAAGAGGTTCATGAAGGTGATATTGGGCGTGTTGTGCGTGTGGATCGAGGATCTCTCCACAATCTTAATGTTCAGGTTTGTTCTTGGATGATTGATGTTTTTATTGAAGCTAAAAATTGTTAACCCAATACAAAAACCCTCTCTCCTGAGCTGTATTCACAGTGGCACAGGCCCTGCTGCCGGGAGATTGTTTCAGTGCCATTGTGTGCGTAGCATGAGAGTACATTCCCTCTGAAAATGGGACCAGCTCACCATGACATGCCACCCAGAATATAATCCAGGCATGCCATGACATGCATGTACATGCCACCCAGTGGCAAAGGTTGAATATTAACCCTCAAACTATTGATTGTCTGAGTTGTGTTCTTTTTAATATATTGCTAATTAATGCAATTATTATTTTTATATCTGATGTGCAGGTGGACTGGCAACGGAAGGGTGGAACTTACTGGGTGCGCTACATCCATAGTGAGCTCCTGGACCAGCCTCCACCACCATTAGCAGCAAGTGGACCCATAAGAGTGGGTGACAGAGTGAGAGTGAAGAGCTCTGTCAACACGCCAAAGTACAAATGGGGATCTGTCAATCACCGTAGCATTGGTGTGGTAACAAGTAAGTCTTCCCATTCACTGTACAAGCTCTGATGAGCATAAAGAATGCCACTTGTATTGAGCTTTTGTAATTCATTAAATGAGAAATGGCTTTCTAACAGCCAAATAAGTATTAGTAGAATGCAAATTTGAAATGGAATATATACGGACCCACAATTGATGTTCAAACCATTTATTGATCTGATGCTTTTAGTGAATGGTTTGTAGTTTCTTTTTGTAAAAAATGTGTATTCATCCGTGCACAGATGTACAATTATATTTGCTGTCATCTTCAATTTTTCTACAAGGTGTGAGTACAAATGGCCAAGATCTGATCGTTGACTTCCCACAACAACCTAATTGGCAAGGTTTAGTTAGTGAGATGGAGGTGGTACCATCATGTCATATGAATGTTACCTGTGATGGCTGTGGAGTTTCACCAATAACAGGTGAAGATGCTTGTTCTCATGAATCTATTTTATGGTAGATGAGTCTAAATTATTGATACTCTCGGATTGATAATGTGGATATGATTTTCTAAAAGCTATGTTTAAAAAGTCAGCATTTTCTTTATTTCTATAATTTGCAGGTGCACGACTGAAATGCAAAGATTGTGACAATTTTGACTATTGCGAAGAATGTTATCAAACAAAGAGAAGTCATCGACATTTGTTTAACCGTATTGCTGAACCAGGTAATTTGGACCCTATTAAATTATTGAAATTGAATTTAACTCTTTCACATTTGATATTTCCCATATAGCACTTTATACTAATTTCCAGTATCATATGGTCATGAAAAGAGATCTGTCATATAAATACAGGGGAACTGACTAAATTCCTTGCACTTTACCCAGGGAGTCCAGCTGTCTATGCAGGGCCCCCAGGCAGAGGACGCTTCCGCAAAAAGGAAGGAATCTTGGGAGGTGCCGATGGCACGATTGAGGACTGGTACCGTTGTGTTAGGAACCTGAGTGTGTCATCCAGAGAAAATTGGGCTCATCGACTGATTGATGGAACGGGGAGCTACTGGCAGAGCTGTGGACAGGAGGGCAAGGTGAATTGAAGGCGGTAATTTGATTTTATGTAAAGTAAGAATGGAAGGACAAAACGCTGTTAGCAGCTTAGAAACTACCTGTTGTCATTTCTGATTGTCATTTTATTTATTTTTTTCTGATTGTAACAGTTATAGAGAATTTCCTGTGTAGTTATATTTATTGTCTTTCCTCTTAAAGCACTGGATTCATTTGGAGATGCAGCCCAACATTGGTATAGAGTGGCTGCGGATGTTAGTGGATCCAGCAGATAGCTCATACATGCCTACATTAGTTGTGATTAGCGGTGGGGATTCCCTTGCCAAGATGCGAGAGTTAGCGACTATCAGAATAACCCCATCAGACACTTGGGTCACCCTCCTAAGGAATGTGAAAGAAGTAAGTATGCTAATATGTATATGCACTAGTTCTGCATTAATACTGACAACAAATGGTGCACTTTTCTTTCTCTTTGACAGTGATTATGTGTAGTGTTTTTAATGGTGAATGTTAATGTTCCAATCTTTCTTTATTCCAGTACATGAAATATATTGAAATTGGTATCAAGCAGTGCAAGAGTGGAGGCATTGATTGTCGTGTACATGGTCTGGCAATTATGGGAAAATTGGTAGATGAATTCGGTGACCCTGCCTCATCCGTGTCTTTCCTTGCTTCTGACAATGAAGATGTGGAGGTGAACATATAAAGAGTTTTGTGTGTTGTACATGTTTTTGTAAGTTGATAATTTTTGTTTTAAAGATGTTTACTGTGTTTTTTTTTTTTTTTTTTTTTTTTTCTTAAAAAGATTAATTTTTCTAATCAAAATTTCCCAATTTAGGATGAGATTACCGAGATGACAAGGAAAAGTCTAACTTCAACCATATGCTTCGATGGTGAACCAAAAGTCTTAGTGTGGGGCCTCAATGACAAAGACCAACTAGGTGGGCTCAAAGGCTCAAAAGTCAAGATGCCGGTCCTCTCAGAAACACTCAGTAGCCTCCACCCTGTCCATGTTGCTGGAGGATCAAAGTCTCTCTTTGTGGTGTCACAGGAAGGGAAGGTAAGAATTAAAGAAGAGGTTCTGGTTGGGGGAGCAAATAAGACATTCTCTGATATGGGCTATTGTTTTCTTTTTCTGTCCTTGAGTCAGTTGATTTTTGTGTATTATTTCACTAGCATGTTTAATTTTTCTCTTTCCTTTTATATATGAAAAAAAAATCTGATTTGATTGGTTTTCTTCAAAACAGGCATTTTAGAAGGTTATAACATGGTTCTCTTGTATTTAAATAGGTTTATGCATGTGGAGAGGGAACAGGAGGAAGGCTTGGCCTCGGTCACTGTAACAACATCACAGTTCCACGCCAGATAACAGCACTGAGTCAGTATGTTGTGAAGAAAGTAGCTGTCCATTCCGGTGGTCGCCATGCTATGGCACTCACTGTGGATGGGAAGGTTAGTGATGCTGTCTAGGTGTAGTTGTTGTTGGTTGTAAAAATTTCATTTTGAATTGTAAGACAAATAATTGTTCTTATACATATGAATATTTTTGTCTTTTGGGTTTTCCATATTTTCATCTTGACTGGACTTAACCCATTGCTGCCGGGGAAATGAACAAAAAATGAGGAAAATGCTGTGCCTATTTTCTACATTTTTTTGTGAAATGTCTGCCCATAGATGGCTTTGTTAGCGCCTGATTTGAAATGGCGGAAAAAACGTATTTTTCACTAGTGCCATGGTGTTATTTTTATTATAAACATTATAATTTTTATAATGTATTTTAACATTAGTAACAGCAAAATAAGATAACGTAAATTATTTCGTAAATCAAAGAAAAGGGTGAACGTTCAAGACAGGCGGTACTTGTAAAGGGCTCATTGGTGATTTAGTACAAGTGTAGCCATCTATGTGTAAAAACCATCCAACAAGTAATCTCACAGTGGGAATGGCATGGCATTCCCAGCGGGAATGGGTTAAGATTTTATTTCCAATACTAAAAATTTCATTTATATGACAGATATTTTCTTGGGGAGAAGGTGAAGATGGAAAACTAGGTCATGGAAATCGCACTAGTTATGACAAGCCGAAACTCATCGAGTCTCTAAAGTCAAAGCGTATAAGAGACATTGCCTGTGGAAGCTCCCACTCAGCAGCCATCACATCAAGTGGAGAGCTCTATTGTTGGGGCCTTGGAGAGTATGGTAGACTTGGGCTAGGGGACACAACCACTCAGTTGAAACCTAAACTAGTGAAGGCCCTCCATGGACAAAGAGTCGTGCAGGTAATTTCTTTTGCTCTTTTTCCAATATCTGAAATTATTTTTAATACTGTGTGTGTGTGTGTGTGTGTGTGTGTGTGTGTGTGTGTGTTGTGTGTGTGTGTGTGTGTGTGTGTGTGTGTGTGTGTGTGTGTGTGTGTGTATGTGTGTGTGTTTTTTGGTTTCCTTGCTTGCTTGCCTGGTTGTTTGCTTGTTCAAGAAACTGAGTATAGATAATCAGTCAGTAATGTATTTATAAATGGGAACACTTGTTAAATAACGGTCATGCTATGATGCATGGTGCAAATTAAGATTATCTTTTTGGGAAGGTTTTGTCAGAAATGCGACAGTGAAAGAATGTTTCCTGCATCTTTTCCAGGTGGCATGTGGAAGTCGTGATGCTCAGACACTCGCCCTAACCTCAGAAGGAATGGTCTACTCGTGGGGCGATGGTGATTTTGGGAAGTTAGGGCGTGGAGGATCAGAAGGCTGTTCCTTGCCACAAAACATCGAGCGTCTTAATGGTCTTGGAGTCTGCCAGATAGAATGTGGAGCTCAGTTCTCACTGGTTCTCACTAAAGCTGGACAGGTATGTATTGATTGTTTGTACTGTGATGGTGATTTTGTATTGAGACAAATTTTTGTGGTTTATATCCCTTCGTATTATCTTTGTCCATTTGTTGTACTTTTGTCCTCAGAATTATTGTATGGAGAACTTTAATCTATATTCTTTTACAAACAGTATCTTGATAATTTTCTTTCTAGGTTTGGACATGGGGAAAAGGAGACTACTTTAGGCTGGGTCATGGCACAGACCAGCATGTACGTAGACCAACCATGGTGGAAGGTTTGCGGGGCAAGAAAGTGGTACATGTTGCAGTTGGAGCTTTGCATTGCTTAGCTGTGACAGAAGCAGGACAGGTTAGCTAATGTATCATATTATGTAAACTTAGTTAAGATAATTTAAATAAGAAGGCAAATGCCTTTTTTTTTTTTTTTTATTACTCTGTCATATATGTAAAGTGCTTGACTCTTTGTGCTCTGCTGTAGTGTACAATAGTAATTGTATGGATAGATATTTTCAAAATGTATTAAATTTTTTTTCTTTCTTTCTTTCTTCTTTTCAGATCATAAAAAGATATATTTTGATAATATGACTCATACAAAGAGTGAACCTGAAATTTTATTCCAGGTGTATGCATGGGGTGACAATGATCATGGCCAACAAGGTAATGGAACAACCATAGTGTGTGTGTGTGTGTGTGTGTGTGTGTGTGTGTGTGTGTGTGTGTGTGTGTGTGTGTGTGTGTGTGTGTGTGTGTGTGTGTGTGTGTGTGTGTGTGTGTGTGTGTGTGTGTGTGTGTGTGTGTGTGTGTGTGTGTGTGTGTGTGTGTGTGTGTGTGTGTGTGTGTGTGTGTGTGTGTGTGTGTGTGTGTGTGTGTGTGTGTGTGTGTGTGTGTGTGTGTGTGTGTGTGTGTGTGTGTGTGTGTGTGTGTGTGTGTGTGTGTGTGTGTGTGTGTGTGTGTGTGTGTGTGTGTGTGTGTGTGTGTGTGTGTGTGTGTGTGTGTGTGTGTGTGTGTGTGTGTGTGTGTGTGTGTGTGTGTGTGTGTGTGTGTGTGTGTGTGTGTGTGTGTGTGTGTGTGTGTGTGTGTGTGTGTGTGTGTGTGTGTGTGTGTGTGTGTGTGTGTGTGTGTGTGTGTGTGTGTGTGTGTGTGTGTGTGTGTGTGTGTGTGTGTGTGTGTGTGTGTGTGTGTGTGTGTGTGTGTGTGTGTGTGTGTGTGTGTGTGTGTGTGTGTGTGTGTGTGTGTGTGTGTGTGTGTGTGTGTGTGTGTGTGTGTGTGTGTGTGTGTGTGTGTGTGTGTGTGTGTGTGTGTGTGTGTGTGTGTGTGTGTGTGTGTGTGTGTGTGTGTGTGTGTGTGTGTGTGTGTGTGTGTGTGTGTGTGTGTGTGTGTGTGTGTGTGTGTGTGTGTGTGTGTGTGTGTGTGTGTGTGTGTGTGTGTGTGTGTGTGTGTGTGTGTGTGTGTGTGTGTGTGTGTGTGTGTGTGTGTGTGTGTGTGTGTGTGTGTGTGTGTGTGTGTGTGTGTGTGTGTGTGTGTGTGTGTGTGTGTGTGTGTGTGTGTGTGTGTGTGTGTGTGTGTGTGTGTGTGTGTGTGTGTGTGTGTGTGTGTGTGTGTGTGTGTGTGTGTGTGTGTGTGTGTGTGTGTGTGTGTGTGTGTGTGTGTGTGTGTGTGTGTGTGTGTGTGTGTGTGTGTGTGTGTGTGTGTGTGTGTGTGTGTGTGTGTGTGTGTGTGTGTGTGTGTGTGTGTGTGTGTGTGTGTGTGTGTGTGTGTGTGTGTGTGTGTGTGTGTGTGTGTGTGTGTGTGTGTGTGTGTGTGTGTGTGTGTGTGTGTGTGTGTGTGTGTGTGTGTGTGTGTGTGTGTGTGTGTGTGTGTGTGTGTGTGTGTGTGTGTGTGTGTGTGTGTGTGTGTGTGTGTGTGTGTGTGTGTGTGTGTGTGTGTGTGTGTGTGTGTGTGTGTGTGTGTGTGTGTGTGTGTGTGTGTGTGTGTGTGTGTGTGTGTGTGTGTGTGTGTGTGTGTGTGTGTGTGTGTGTGTGTGTGTGTGTGTGTGTGTGTGTGTGTGTGTGTGTGTGTGTGTGTGTGTGTGTGTGTGTGTGTGTGTGTGTGTGTGTGTGTGTGTGTGTGTGTGTGTGTGTGTGTGTGTGTGTGTGTGTGTGTGTGTGTGTGTGTGTGTGTGTGTGTGTGTGTGTGTGTGTGTGTGTGTGTGTGTGTGTGTGTGTGTGTGTGTGTGTGTGTGTGTGTGTGTGTGTGTGTGTGTGTGTGTGTGTGTGTGTGTGTGTGTGTGTGTGTGTGTGTGTGTGTGTGTGTGTGTGTGTGTGTGTGTGTGTGTGTGTGTGTGTGTGTGTGTGTGTGTGTGTGTGTGTGTGTGTGTGTGTGTGTGTGTGTGTGTGTGTGTGTGTGTGTGTGTGTGTGTGTGTGTGTGTGTGTGTGTGTGTGTGTGTGTGTGTGTGTGTGTGTGTGTGTGTGTGTGTGTGTGTGTGTGTGTGTGTGTGTGTGTGTGTGTGTGTGTGTGTGTGTGTGTGTGTGTGTGTGTGTGTGTGTGTGTGTGTGTGTGTGTGTGTGTGTGTGTGTGTGTGTGTGTGTGTGTGTGTGTGTGTGTGTGTGTGTGTGTGTGTGTGTGTGTGTGTGTGTGTGTGTGTGTGTGTGTGTGTGTGTGTGTGTGTGTGTGTGTGTGTGTGTGTGTGTGTGTGTGTGTGTGTGTGTGTGTGTGTGTGTGTGTGTGTGTGTGTGTGTGTGTGTGTGTGTGTGTGTGTGTGTGTGTGTGTGTGTGTGTGTGTGTGTGTGTGTGTGTGTGTGTGTGTGTGTGTGTGTGTGTGTGTGTGTGTGTGTGTGTGTGTGTGTGTGTGTGTGTGTGTGTGTGTGTGTGTGTGTGTGTGTGTGTGTGTGTGTGTGTGTGTGTGTGTGTGTGTGTGTGTGTGTGTGTGTGTGTGTGTGTGTGTGTGTGTGTGTGTGTGTGTGTGTGTGTGTGTGTGTGTGTGTGTGTGTGTGTGTGTGTGTGTGTGTGTGTGTGTGTGTGTGTGTGTGTGTGTGTGTGTGTGTGTGTGTGTGTGTGTGTGTGTGTGTGTGTGTGTGTGTGTGTGTGTGTGTGTGTGTGTGTGTGTGTGTGTGTGTGTGTGTGTGTGTGTGTGTGTGTGTGTGTGTGTGTGTGTGTGTGTGTGTGTGTGTGTGACAAAGGACCCCTTGGGAGCCCATGCACTGGGTATGAGTATTTCCTAAATACTGGTACTTGGGATATTATGTTGATATGTCATTAGGCTTGCCATGTTAGTGATTATTTTTCTTTCTTTCTTTCTTTCTTTCTTTCTTTCTTTCTTTCTTTCTTTCTTTCTTTCTTTCTTTCTTTCTTTCTTTCTTTCTTTCTTTCTTTCTTTCTTTCTTTCTTTCTTTCTTTCTTTCTTTCTTTCTTTCTTTCTTTCTTTCTTTCTTTCTTTCTTTCTTTCTTTCTTTCTTTCTTTCTTTCTTTCTTTCTTTCTTTCTTTCTTTCTTTCTTTCTTTCTTTCTTTCTTTCTTTCTTTCTTTCTTTCTTTCTTTCTTTCTTTCTTTCTTTCTTTCTTTCTTTCTTTCTTTCTTTCTTTCTTTCTTTCTTTCTTTCTTTCTTTCTTTCTTTCTTTCTTTCTTTCTTTCTTTCTTTCTTTCTTTCTTTCTTTCTTTCTTTCTTTCTTTCTTTCTTTCTTTCTTTCTTTCTTTCTTTCTTTCTTTCTTTCTTTCTTTCTTTCTTTCTTTCTTTCTTTCTTTCTTTCTTTCTTTCTTTCTTTCTTTCTTTCTTTCTTTCTTTCTTTCTTTCTTTCTTTCTTTCTTTCTTTCTTTCTTTCTTTCTTTCTTTCTTTCTTTCTTTCTTTCTTTCTTTCTTTCTTTCTTTCTTTCTTTCTTTCTTTCTTTCTTTCTTTCTTTCTTTCTTTCTTTCTTTCTTTCTTTCTTTCTTTCTTTCTTTCTTTCTTTCTTTCTTTCTTTCTTTCTTTCTTTCTTTCTTTCTTTCTTTCTTTCTTTCTTTCTTTCTTTCTTTCTTTCTTTCTTTCTTTCTTTCTTTCTTTCTTTCTTTCTTTCTTTCTTTCTTTCTTTCTTTCTTTCTTTCTTTCTTTCTTTCTTTCTTTCTTTCTTTCTTTCTTTCTTTCTTTCTTTCTTTCTTTCTTTCTTTCTTTCTTTCTTTCTTTCTTTCTTTCTTTCTTTCTTTCTTTCTTTCTTTCTTTCTTTCTTTCTTTCTTTCTTTCTTTCTTTCTTTCTTTCTTTCTTTCTTTCTTTCTTTCTTTCTTTCTTTCTTTCTTTCTTTCTTTCTTTCTTTCTTTCTTTCTTTCTTTCTTTCTTTCTTTCTTTCTTTCTTTCTTTCTTTCTTTCTTTCTTTCTTTCTTTCTTTCTTTCTTTCTTTCTTTCTTTCTTTCTTTCTTTCTTTCTTTCTTTCTTTCTTTCTTTCTTTCTTTCTTTCTTTCTTTCTTTCTTTCTTTCTTTCTTTCTTTCTTTCTTTCTTTCTTTCTTTCTTTCTTTCTTTCTTTCTTTCTTTCTTTCTTTCTTTCTTTCTTTCTTTCTTTCTTTCTTTCTTTCTTTCTTTCTTTCTTTCTTTCTTTCTTTCTTTCTTTCTTTCTTTCTTTCTTTCTTTCTTTCTTTCTTTCTTTCTTTCTTTCTTTCTTTCTTTCTTTCTTTCTTTCTTTCTTTCTTTCTTTCTTTCTTTCTTTCTTTCTTTCTTTCTTTCTTTCTTTCTTTCTTTCTTTCTTTCTTTCTTTCTTTCTTTCTTTCTTTCTTTCTTTCTTTCTTTCTTTCTTTCTTTCTTTCTTTCTTTCTTTCTTTCTTTCTTTCTTTCTTTCTTTCTTTCTTTCTTTCTTTCTTTCTTTCTTTCTTTCTTTCTTTCTTTCTTTCTTTCTTTCTTTCTTTCTTTCTTTCTTTCTTTCTTTCTTTCTTTCTTTCTTTCTTTCTTTCTTTCTTTCTTTCTTTCTTTCTTTCTTTCTTTCTTTCTTTCTTTCTTTCTTTCTTTCTTTCTTTCTTTCTTTCTTTCTTTCTTTCTTTCTTTCTTTCTTTCTTTCTTTCTTTCTTTCTTTCTTTCTTTCTTTCTTTCTTTCTTTCTTTCTTTCTTTCTTTCTTTCTTTCTTTCTTTCTTTCTTTCTTTCTTTCTTTCTTTCTTTCTTTCTTTCTTTCTTTCTTTCTTTCTTTCTTTCTTTCTTTCTTTCTTTCTTTCTTTCTTTCTTTCTTTCTTTCTTTCTTTCTTTCTTTCTTTCTTTCTTTCTTTCTTTCTTTCTTTCTTTCTTTCTTTCTTTCTTTCTTTCTTTCTTTCTTTCTTTCTTTCTTTCTTTCTTTCTTTCTTTCTTTCTTTCTTTCTTTCTTTCTTTCTTTCTTTCTTTCTTTCTTTCTTTCTTTCTTTCTTTCTTTCTTTCTTTCTTTCTTTCTTTCTTTCTTTCTTTCTTTCTTTCTTTCTTTCTTTCTTTCTTTCTTTCTTTCTTTCTTTCTTTCTTTCTTTCTTGACAGATGCCATTGCAGAGACCTCATCATCACTCTCCAGTCCCAATGGAGGCGAAATAGCAGAAGGTGGTGGTGAGGCTCCTGCTTCTGCCTTGGATGCTGCTGCTGTGCCTGCAGCTCTGGTAAGATATTTAAGTGATTATGTGTGGAGTATGTGAGATTCTTGAGATGAGTAGATTTATACTTAAAGGCTTATGAGGTATGAAATGTGCATTTCAAGGATACATAAGAGAAAAAAAATTGCATGCATATTTATTTCTGGCAAAGGGTGATACTAGTAGTATAAGTAATAAGAAAATAAAATGTCATAGCGGACCATATGACAGTTCCTACATTTACGACAAGACTATGTTTGAGAACTTGCCACTGAATTTGCATTTCTTTGATCAGAGTTGTGGAACCAGTCCTGACAGTGAGGAGAGTGTCCTACTGCAGCTAGCCTCCGTACCCTCTACTGGGTCCTTATCCTCAAGAGCCTCCAGACTTTCTCACTCGGCTATGAGTATTCTTGCTGCCACTCTGACAACGAAGGCTGATGTAGTAAGTATATATTCTGATGAATGATTGCAAAGATGGAACTGTTTGATGAAGTGTCTTTTTATTAAGAAAGCAATATGCACTGCTTGCATTTTTGGAAATATTACCACAGTTAGTTTTCTGGATTTTATTTAGCTTTCAGGTTTTCAGGCTCTCATTATTTCTCATCAACTCTACTAGTGTGGTACCAAAATTGAGTCATCCATATTTCATAAAAATATTTTTATCAATCCTTCAGGTATCTGAGGAAGCTGAACTTCCTGAAGATGATGTAATATGTAATGGATTAGATGAGTTTACGAGAAAGTTAACCGAGGATGACGCACGAGTTCTTGTTGACCTCCTGAAATTAGCTGTGGCAGGTCGAGCTGGACCACAGGCCTCCCCCGCAATCACAAGAGTTCTTACTGGTAAATGGATTAACTTGTACATTCCTTTATGGATTAGTGTTTCTTTTGTCTGTTATTGAAGGATAGGTGAGTAGTGGAGAATGTAAAGATAAAGGTTAAAGGATTTATTATTATTATATTCATCTTGGTTCCTATGGAGCAAGAAGGATATTCTTATGTGCATTGGGAAGAAATAACTAGAATGCTTGTAGACAGATTTAGCTTGACACAGTAGATTAGAAATAGATTTTTTTGTTTTTGTTGTATAAAATATGTATTATGTATATAACCCAAATTGTTGAAATGTTATTTTGTAAATGACAATTCTAGTACTCATTTAGATCTTTAGTATTTGTAACTTTTTTTTTTTTTTCATAGGATTGGCCAAGGAGAATCCCACAGTTGCTGGTATGCTGACAGAGCTTTGTGTGACAGAGCTAGAAGATGCAGCTACGGACACTGAGGCCATGCGATCTGTGCCTCAGCCAGTGGTACAGGAGAGCTCTCATCCTTACACAGATGATGTCACCCTCACTGGCGTTGTCAAAATACCTGGTGGGTATTTCCCTATGCTAATGAAAGAATGGAATTTAGCATTGGAATACTTGTTTTTTGTGGTGTACATTTTTGCATGCATGTGTGATGTTTGTGTGTTTTTTTATTACATTTTTATATTTTTTCAGGTGCTGAAGCCCTTAGAGTAGAATTTGATCGACAGTGTTCTACTGAGAGGAAGCACGATCCCTTGACCATAATGGATGGCTCTGGGAAAGTCATATGTACACGCTCAGGAAGAGAGTGGTCTGACTGGTCTACAGAAGTGAGAATTGCAGGTATGGTGTCCAGGTGTGATTTTAATACTTTAAAAATCCCCCTTCAGTGACTGTTACTGGGTTCTGAATTATTCATGCTAACTTCTCCCAGTGAATGCAAAACATTTTTCTACACAACTTGAAAAGATCTTACTGCCATAGGCTTAGAGATACCCAGATATGTACTGTTACTGTTAATATTGGTCCCCTCTGTATTTGGAATCCTATTATCCTTTCGTTTATTTACTACTCAAGCTAATGTTATTCAAATCCTATCCTAGGGGATGAATTGAGGTGGAAGTTCACCAGTGATGGCTCTGTGAACGGCTGGGGATGGAGATTCACAGTGTTCCCTCTCATGCCTTGTGCCGCACCACGAGACCTGCATAGTGATCGTCGCCTCCTGTCACGACCTTTAGTGGACCTGCCCATGTGCTTGTTAGACTCTCTGCTCCCACTGTGTACCCAGAGTGTTATCTTGTCAAGATTGGCTGCTTCTCTTGCAATGTGTGCACAGTTGTCATCTCTAGGTAAGTTGTAGCTTGTAATTTTTAAAACAGTGCTATTAGGCCTTAGCATACGAAAAGGAAAACAGATATGCTATTTTCTCTTAGATTAATTTTTGTTAGTAATCATTGTCTAATTGTCTTTTTTTTGGCTCATAGCTCCCAGCCAACGGATGTGGGCCCTCAAAACACTCCGTAAAATCGTAACGACAGACATTGGATCAGGGCTCAACATCAAAGCCTTGTTATCTGCATCATACTCATCCAGCTCTACACCTGCCCCATCTCGACCCATTTCTCCGGTGCCACAAGCTACAATATCTCAGAGCTTGCCTGCACCTCAGTCCCTTGTGCCACCCACCCCACAGTCACTTGCTCCACCTGCCCCACAGTCATTGCGTGGTAGCACAGAAAGCCTTGAATCCTCCAGCAGTCTAGTCAAGCCTCAAATTGAAGTAAAACAAGCTCCTGAAATGCCACTTGTAAGCCTCCTGAAAGGCTTACCGGAGGCTTTGTTACGTCAGGCAGAGTATGAAGATCCTTTAGTGAGGGGAGGAAAACACCTTATGCATTCACAGTTCTTCAAGGTATCACTTACACTGTTATTTTTCAGAATTTGTTTTTGTATCATTTTGTATTAGTATATTCTTATCTATTGTATTTTCTATATTTTGCATTTTTGTCTATTCTCCTACAAAGGTACTGGTTGGCTTAGCTTGTGACCTGGAACTGGATAGTGGTGTTGGTTCCGGAGAGGCTCACAAGTGGGCATGGTTCCGAAGGTATTGCGTAGCCTCAAGGGTCGTCAAGTCCCTTATTGACAGAATAACTCTGCCCAGTGGCTTTTGTGCTGATGTAAGTGTTGTTTTAAGAGCATAGTATTTATAATGTGTACTGTTGATGATTTAAGAAAATTTTTGTTATTTAGGAAATATAATTTGCTTTCTAGGAAGCTTAATTGATCTTTGCCCCTTTTCAGGTTCGTAAAAAACTATCAGAAATGCTTGGTGAGGGCGAGGTCCTTACATTAGAGCACGAGGATCATACTCTATTCCAGCACCAGCATGATGAACAGCTCCTGCTCTGGTTCAACAGGTATTCGTCTTTCATATTACTGCAGTAGTCACTATTCTACTATATTTACATACAAAAATATTGCACATTTTGTTGTTATTATTATTATTGCCCATTTTCATTATACCATGTCAATACTGTACTTCACAGACGGCCAGAAGACTGGACTTTGTCTTGGGGTGGAAGTGGTAGCATTTTTGGCTGGGGACATAATCACCGTGGCCAGCTTGGAGGTGTCGAAGGTGCCAAAGTCAAGTTGCCTACTCCATGTGACACCTTGACGGCACTGAGACCTGTGCAGCTTATTGGTGGAGAACAGACACTCTTTGCTGTTACTGGGGATGGAAAGGTAAGGACTATGTTTAATTGGTGTTATGTTCATAGATCTAATGTTATTGTTATAGATTTTGTGTCATCACTCTTTAGGTGTAAATAAGATGCGATATAATCCTATTCATAATTTTATAAGAAAAATGTCAATTCTGTCACTCTAGGTGTATGCGACTGGCTATGGAGCCGGAGGAAGATTGGGCATTGGTGGAGTGGAATCCGTATCAACTCCAACCCTTCTTGAGTCAATTCAGCACATCGTGATCCGTAAAGTAGCTGTCAACTCTGGAGGAAAGCACTGTCTTGCTCTCACTGCTGATGGAGATGTGTATTCTTGGGGTGAAGGAGACGATGGCAAATTAGGCCATGGGAATAAGAGGTCAGTTGCATGCCTTCTTAGATCTGTTTACATATGTTTTGTCAGTCCTTGTGCATACCTCTGTGTGTGTGTGTGGGGGGGGGGTGCTCGCTGCATGCGTGCTTGCGTGTGTGTGTGTGCATGCCTGTGTGTGTGTGAGAGAGAGATTGTAATTATAGATTGTAATTGTAATTGTGAACTACTTTTAAGAATGTTTTTTTTCCCTCTGGTTCCAATACTGGTTAATATTTAAAGTTTTAAACCCATGGTGTGATAGGAAGTCCCTCCATTGTAAGTGGGTTAACTTTGTTTTTCTTTTAATGCACTATAAGTAGTACCCAGAAGAAAATGGAATAGATAGACATAGTGGTAACATTTGGTAGTAATATAATATTGACACTATCCCACTGAAAATAGTTAATTTCTTAATCTCCAGCCCATATGATCGGCCAAGGCTGATTGAGACGTTACAAGGGAAAGGTGTGGTGGAAATTGCTTGTGGAGGAGCTCATTCTGCAGCCATCACAGCTTTAGGAGAGCTGTATACCTGGGGCAAGGGAAGATATGGAAGGCTTGGCCATGGTGACTCAGAGGTAAGCTATAAAAGATAATTAAAAGTCATCTTGAGGGGATAGTGACAGTGTAAGATAATAATCTCATGTTTCTGCATCAGATTAAACATTATTATTACTGTTTTTTTATTAATACAACGGCTTTATTCCAGGACCAATTCCGACCCAAGTTAGTCGAAGAGCTAGTAAGGTATAGGGTCATCGATGTTGCCTGTGGTTCCGGAGATGCTCAGACCTTGTGCATCACGGACGACGATAACGTGTGGTCTTGGGGTGACGGGGACTATGGGAAGCTAGGACGTGGTGGTTCAGATGGATGTAAAGTACCCATGAGGATAGATGGATTAGCCAATCAAGGGATTATTAAGGTGAGTTGACCTAGCTTTGATTGTTTATGACTTGCAATATAGAATACATTTTCATGCTCTTTTTTTTTTTTATAAGTGTAAAACATTGGTAATTATTATTTCTCAAAGAGTCTCTGATAATGTTTATTATTTCTTTAAAAAACAGGTTGAATGTGGTTCCCAGTTTTCAGTGGCCTTATCCATGTCTGGTTCTGTATACACTTGGGGCAAAGGGGACTATCATAGATTAGGTCATGGCACAGACGATCACGTGAGAAGGCCTCGTAAGGTTACAGCTTTGCAGGGGAAGAAGGTTATCAGCATTGCTACAGGTATCTCTCCTTTTTTGTGAATTTTTTGTGAATTATTTGTGACTTTTACTGTAGTAAAGTAATATGATGGGAAATGATAGTTAAAACAATGTCGCACCATATATTTGTGTACAAAATGATTTCTTGATTGATATGTACAAAGATACAATGAATACAATGCTACTTAGGAAGTTTGGTAAAAATACTCTATTTTTATGCAAGCTCTTAAATTGTGAATTACTCTGCAGGATCACTTCATTGCGTATGCTGCACTAGTGAAGGTGAGGTCTACACATGGGGAGATAATGATGAGGGCCAGCTTGGTGACAGTACAACGAATGCCATACAGAGACCTCGACTTGTCATGGCTCTACAGGTATAAAAGAAGTCAGATCATACATTTTGGGAATCTATACGAAGATAGCATTTAGAAATCTGATACACGTGACTGTACACAAACCTAAGATAGGATCATTATTTCAATATTCCTTCTATCTACAGGGTAAGAAGATCAACCGTGTTGCTTGTGGATCAGCACACACTTTAGCTTGGAGCACCAGTAGGGCAGTTAGTACAGGACGTCTGCCTTCTCAAGTCCCTCTGGAGTATGACCTCCTCAAAGAAATTCCTCTCCATTCCCTGAGGAACAGATTGGTAAGTTGCTATAATATGATATAGTGATGTAAATATAAGATTTCCAAGACTTTATTCCATGTTAAAAATCTCAATTTTCTATGCAATACTTAAATGTGAAATAGCCAAAATAGAGTAGATTAGTTTATGAGTTTTATTTTTTACTAGTTAGATAATCTATTCTTGTATTTATCCAATAGTATATTGTAACTAGCTAGAATTTTGCTGTTGCCATGATTATCAGATAAGAGAAAACAGTATTGCTCTTATATAGTTTAGTTCTGAAATGACACATCAAGCTTTCTTCTCACAGGTCCTGCTGCACCACTTCTCTGACTTGGTGTGTCAAAGCATCTCAATGTTTGACTTATGTGAAATATCAGAAGAAGAAGAAGGGCCAAAAGTGGACAGGTTAAGAGCCATAATTGTGTCCAGTGCAAAGGAAACGGCTTTTAAGAAGGCAGGTTTTATATACATACAGATATATGTGGTTCATTTACAGTTGTTATTACTCATATATTTACTTTCGTGAATAGTACCCAGAAGGGAATAACAAAATATACACATAATTGTATTTTCATACATTAACCATTATATGACAAAAAAATGTATTCCAGGTTGTGCAAGCCACAATGGTAAGGGATCGTCAACATGGACCCATTGTTGAGCTGAACCGTATTAGTGTCAAGAGGTCGCGCTCGAGAGGTGGTTTGGCTGGCCCAGATGGCATGAAGTCTGTGTTTGGGCAAATGGTGGCCAAAATGTCTCTCATGTCACCAGACGCCTTGTTCTTGCCTCATCGTGTCTGGAAAGTTAAATTTGTCGGTGAGTAAAAGCTCTGACATTCTTACAAAGTTAATGTTATTGTTGTTATATATATTATTCATATATTTATGTAATTTTTATCATACATGAACACATTTTAGTGGATTATAGGATTTGGTTTGTACTTACCCTCGCTTCCTTATGCTACTAAATGAATTGTCTTTTCAGGTGAGAGTGTGGATGACTGTGGAGGTGGGTACAGTGAAAGTGTAGCTGAGATGTGTGACGAGTTGATGAATGGGTCGTTGCCACTTCTCATCCCCACGCCTAATGGACGAGATGAAGCTGGAACCTCACGCGATTGTTTCCTTATGAATCCCCAGGCCAATTCACAACATCATTTGAATATGTTTACTTTCTTGGGTAGGTACCATTGCCTAATGATTTTATCTGCATTTCAGTGATGTTTATAAAAGCAAGGAGAGGAGTTCTGATTTTCTTCATGAGCTTTGTATCATATATGATGATATTCAGTATGTAGTATAATATATTTTCAATGTGGAATTTAATACTCTTCAAATTGTAAGTATAGTTTGTTTACTAATGCTATTAAATATTTCTCTCATAGGAGTGTTGATGGGCATTGCCATCAGAACAGGAAGCCCACTCAGCCTCAACTTGGCAGAACCTGTTTGGAAACAACTGGCTGGGATGGCATTGACCCCAGCTGACATCACTGAGGTTTGTGGTTGTTGCACCTTTAACAAGATCTAGTTAACTGTGATCACTTTAGGATATATACATAACTGCTGTGTTTCCATATCATGTGTCCTAGAGATTATTATATTAACTTTATATTCTGTCACCAAAGTTTACCTTCTCATAGTAATATCCAACACAACAACTTTCAGGTTGATCGCCATTACGTACCTGGGTTGATGTGCGTCCAACAAATGGAAGGTGATGAGAAAACATTTACCAGTCTTGATTTACC